GAAAAAACGACAATAAAAGAAAATATAAGAAGGAGGCCGCAGATTCTGAAGAAAACATGGCCCTGAACACCGACTACCTCAAGAGCGTGCCCGGGGTGCTCAAGCTGCTCGAGATCGTGAGTCTGACTGCCATCTAGAAGGAAAATGGATGTAGACACGCACGCACACACACACACACACACACACACACACACACACACACACACACACACACACACACACACACACACACACACACACACACACACACACACACACACACACACACACATTCACATACATACACACACACACACACACACACACACACACACACACACACACAGAGAGAGAGAGAGAGAGAGAGAGAGAGAGAGAGAGAGAGAGAGAGAGAGAGAGAGAGAGAGAGAGAGAGAGAGAGAGAGAGAGAGAGAGAGAGAGAGAAAGAGAGAGAGAGTGTCAAGTCAAAGTCAAAACACTTTATTCCATTAAATTACAATGGTTATTCGGATAATTATTTCGGATAATTCCCATGAATGAGTTTGCAAATGAATATACATGTGTCATAGTTGCATTTAGAGCGTATTTTTAGCCATTTTTATTTTTTGATATGGGGGGGGGGAATGTGATCAAGTTTACTGATATTACCTAATGACCTAATGCTACTCTGACAGAAAAGTTTTGTAATTTCTGCACTTCTTGCATCTGGGTTTTGTTAGTCGAACCCCAAAATGCTTGAACAATAGTTAATTATGCTTAAAGCTATAGTTTGTACAACCATGATTCTAGTTTCAATAGTGATTTGATTTCTTTTGTGATTAAGATACACCACTACTTTCCTGTGTATTTTGTCAATTTGTAGTTCAAATGTCATGAATCTGTCTAGTTTATTCACTGAAGTCCTCGGTTTGATAGAGCAGCCTTCAAATTCTAAGGTTGTGTCATTGGAAATTTTAGTTATGTTCTGACGACTACCTATGAATATACTTTGAGTTTTATGTGTATTCATTTTAAGGCCTTTAGTGTCAAAATATAATTTGATTGTGTAAGAGTATTTTGAGTGTTTCTTATAAATGTCTTTAAGCTGTTTACTGAGTTACTATGAAGAGACTGAATCATCGGCGTACTGCACTAGAAGGCAGTTATGGGCTATTGTTGATAAATGATTTATGAAAATTTAAATAGGATCAGACCTTGCGGAACAACAAAGGGTACTTGTAATTTGTAGTAAATGTTTCAGTAGATAACCTATTTCTAAAACCATGTTGTGTTTTATTAATAAGTTATTGGCCTCCAGGAAAATCGTCAGATGATTTGCTACAATTTTTTAAAAAGAATTTTGGATAATATATGGAATCTACTAATAGGACGATGATTATTGACATTGTCTATATCCCCCCAAATTGGTGTTACTATACCATGTTTCCAAAGCGATGGAAAGACACCAGTGACCAGAGAGGTGTTAATAATGTACAGTTGCGGGTAGACTATCTCTGATAAAGCGCAAAGTAATACCGTCTGCTTCTACAGCATTCGTTTCGTGAAGGTGTTTTATTACTGATGATTGTTTCTACGTTCACTGTTTGTGGTCCGAAAAAAATAGTTGTAATCCTAGACCAATCTGTGTTTTGTTGTAATGTAGAAGCAATTGTTTGTTCTTAAGTGGATTTTCCAATATAAAAAAAAAGTCATTAAAATGATCTGTTCTCTGTATGGGACTTGTGCAATCACTAGTAATGTGTATGCTGTGAGGCACTAGTGTTTTAACAATTTTCCGTTTTTTATCCGAGTTGTTCTTATATCCTATGAATTTATTTCTGAAATAATTTCTTTTTGCACACTGAATTAGCAATTTTACATTTTTCTTTTTTACTTTATAATCTGTCTGAAAGGCGATCTCATTTCTGTTACTTTTGAGAGCTTGGTAGCCATTATTTCTATCGCCAATGGCTCACTTGATGTCATTTATCCAAGGAACAGGGAGACGTTTGACGGTTCGTGCTACGTAGGGAGCCAGCGCATCAGTGATGCTTTTAATAACTTCCGTGAAGATAGTTACTTGGTTGTTTACATTATGTATCAATGAAATACCTGATAGAGTAATTTCTTTCGACAAGATAAGCTCGCAGAAAGATTTAGATCATATTGTTTGAAATCGCGAAAAGTTTTTATTACTGGTGGTCGCTTTGTTTTCTTTATATTTAATGTCATCGTGATAAGTTCATGGTCAGCAACATGACACGGGATGACATCGAAGTGGAGAATGAGGTCTGATCTGTTAGTTATTATTAAATCTAATAGAGAAGTGTTTTCTGTAATTCGAGTAGGTTTATCCATTATTTGTTCTAATTTATTTTTCTTGGTCATCTTAACTAACTTAGCATTAGATTTTGTTAAATCATCATTTAGGTCCCCAAAAATGAAAAGCGGTTTCTTTTTTAAAGACATTTCTCTGAAAACCTTATCAACGTATCCAAAAGATTCCGAGGTAGCACGGGGTGCCTGTAGATAGCGCCAATAATAAAGTAAGGAAGCATGTCGCTTTGAACGATAACCCAGACATCTTCTACGACAGTATTGTTAACTGCTGTAGTAAATTGATTTCAGGGTATCCCGTAAATATATACATACTCCTCCTCGCCCTGCATCACATGGATAAACTTTTTTGGAATATTGATGGAATTACTAACCATTTCCTTGTGGAGCCGTGTTTCACTTATGCATAATATGTCTATGATTCTTTCCTCAATTAGCATTTTAATTTCTTCAAAATGTCCGAGGAGAGACTGAGCATTTATTTGCTCTATTTTTATGACATTATGGAAACACTGACGGCGTTGCCTTGTCAAACTTGTTTTGTTTAACACTTTAACATTGCCGGGAAAAAGCATCAGTCTATAAATAGCTCTGGTTTTATGTCCTTTCCCCTGGAGGAGGGGGGCAGTGCATAGGGCGGTAGCCCCTTGAACCTGCTGCTGATCTGTTTCCTCCCAGTGACGGTTGGGATCGAGTTGTTCGATTTGCTTGTTATTCTTCCTTGGCCTGTTGGCTTTGAGTCTCACGGCGGGAGGGCTCTTATTTGACTTGGGGAGGCGAGGAAGTCTGTATGGGCCGGGGTCTGCTGGCTAGGAGCGCCGGGCGAGAGGCACGCGGATGGCTCAGCAGAATTGAAGTCAGCAAGGGCGCGAGGCAGCTGGCTAACCGCGAGCAGGGAGAGAGGGGAGGGTTTTGGGAGGGGAGGACAGCCGGTCGTGGGCATGGGCATGGAGGGTGTGGAGGAGGGGTTTGGGGTGGAGGTAGGGGCGTTGTAACTGGGGGAGGAAATGTGAAAGGGAAGGTTTCGTAGGTGGTCTGATCACGGGTGGGGGATGGGAGGTAGGGAGGTTGTTGTGCGACCGATGCAGCCTTTGCTTGTTTTTGCCCTATTATTGGACAATTGCTGTTCGGAGAACATTCCGATCAGCAAATCAATTTTGTTCGCGATCAGATTTTGATCAGTGAAGGAAGGCCCATTACAGGTCTGTGTTTCTTGGTCTGTACTGTTTTGGAAAAATTTAACAAAAGGAGTAGAAATACCTGATTTCTTAGGTAGTGACCAGTCTGTTGGGGAGTGTCCGTTGTTGCTGTTGCGAACATTGTGTTTTGATTATCAACACACTGATCAATCATAGTGTGCACGATAATGTTTGTCATCCGTTTGGTGTCCCGTGTTCCTTAGGTTTTCTAGAGGCGGACAAACTGATTACAATGATTTGGGCTTGTTCGATTTCAACCGGCCTGTAATATTTTTTCATTTGATCACAGATGACCGACCTTGCCCATGACTTTTTTGTAGCAACGGAGTACAGAATTGTGTTTAGCACTGTTGTTACGCGGCCGAATTGATAGGTTGCATTTTCAAATTGATTTACTGTTTGCACTGGCATCATTGCTGTTAATGCGATAGGACCCCTCACCCAGAGCCGTGGGTAGCCTTGACCCTGGCTACCATGCGGGTGCCCTTCCTCGTGGACGGGGAGGCAGCTCTGACCCACGCTGCCGGTGGCCATTATCCAAGGGCTGAGGTCCAAGTACCCTGGGAGGGGGGCACATTACCCTGGACCAAGTTACCCAGCACTCTACTGATCTTTGCCTGTGTCAAGTTTGACCTGCGCCTAGAAAGTAACGACACTGGCGATGTGTACCTTGAGCATGGGAATCCCTCTTACCGTCGAATACTTTATAACTACAAGTGAACTTGTATCTTGATTATACTCAAAATGTTTGTTAAAAATCCTTTTTCTCAATCACTATGTTTGTAATCATTATCATTGATGATATTGTAGTTACCTAATGTTCACGATATAATTTTATTGACATACCCAGTGTCCCCGACCAGACCACAGGACCCTTACACTGCTATAAAACAAAGAGTCTGTATTGACATTTCCCACGAAAGAACAATGTTGCCATATTCTTATGCTTTGTGAATATTTTGTGAACCCCTCAAAACTCAGAGAGCCGAAGTCACTGCCACGCCTGTCCTCTGTACACCACCTACCATATTCCCGTGCAAATAAAAAGTTTGAAGCTGTGACAACTTTCACTTCCAGTTCCATACAAGAGGGGAGACAAAGCATCCACCTGTTATTACAATGGTGGCATCAGAGAGGGGATAACTCCTCCACCTATATTACAGCCCCCTGAAAGAGAGAGAGAGAGAGAGAGAGAGAGAGAGAGAGAGAGAGAGAGAGAGAGAGAGAGAGAGAGAGAGAGAGAGAGAGAGAGAGAGAGAGAGAGAGAGAGAGAGAGAGAGAGAGAGAGAGATACATACATACATACAGACAAACAGATCTTGTAAGACGCAGGGAGCAAAGGTCAAAAGGCCTGAGCCTTTCCGTCCCTCGCCCCCAGGTCTTCGTGGTGACCGCCTTCGGGATTCTTCGCGGCGGGGGGGCCAGCGTGAATATGACGATCGACGCTGACTTCTTCCTGTGTGGCGTCCTGGTCACCGCCATCATAATCACGCCGCTCCTGCTGGTCTGCTACCTGATGGGGAGGACCGAGATCCAGCAGTCCATTCTGGTGGGCATCGCAGGCTGTTGCGGGTCGCTTTGCGTGTGGAATGATGAGTGGCAAAAGTCGTAGTAGCAGTAGTAGAAATGATAATGATATTCTTAGTGATTTAAGTATAATAGTAATAATAATAATAATAAATGGTGATAATAATGACAATAAAATAATTATTATGCGCAATCATATCAATATCGATAATAATCATTAATGGCATTATCATTTTATTATTATTATTACCAATATCAATGTTGTGATGATTATTATCATTTCTGTTAATATTTTTATTGTTATTATTATCATTATCATGATCATTGTTATCATCATCATTATTACTATCATTATTACTGTTATTATTATTATTATTACTATTATTATTATTATTATTATCATCATTATTATTGTTTTGTTGTTGTTGTTATTACTATTATGATTCTTACTATTGAAGGGAGGATAGGTGGGGGAAAGCAGAGGTACGGGCTGCATCAAAGTGTGGAAAGGACATCAGAGTATGTGGAACTGAAAGAGGGACATTATATAGGGAACATAGGGGGGGATCAGAACGTAACATCAGATAGGAGAGTGTTAGACGGGTGTGGCCAGTACGTAAGCAGGCGGGATCTGTCTCTCAACGTCTGTTCCGATAAAATGGAACTGACCAGGAGGAGAATGATAGTTTTACAGTATGTAATTTATAAGTGTGGAGACTTGACCAGAAAGACTGCTATTGGGTATATATGAAGGTCTTAAAGTGAGGGAAATACGTGAGAAACGTGGTTGGTGTGATGTGGACATAGCGGCGTAGCATACTTGAGAATTTGCCTGTTCACTGCCGGGGATTCCAACATGGCTGGGCACCCAGCAAAATCTGATCTGGCGTGTGGATAGGTAAAACAACCAGTTCTGGATCTTACAGACAAAGGGGTTGGTCGAGTGCACTGACTGAGTGAATGAGTTACAGGAGTCAGTAAAAAGAAGTGAAAGAGGAAGAATGGGGTGAATATGTGTTTTAATGCAAAAAGAGTGCGTACCGGAGGTGGATTTGGAGCCATCAGTGTAAACATGAATATTGGAGGAATGAATGGAGACATGGTCAAGGAAATGGGTGAGAAGGACAGCGGGGGAATATTTGATTTTGGTGGGTCAAGGAAAACAGAGGAGCAAATACGGGGGTAAGGTATATACCACGGAGGGACAGAATGGACAGAAAACGAGAGGTCGGAGATGGGGGAAGGGGGTATGGGAGAGGAGGGTATCCATGCGAATGGAGAAATGATAACAGTAACATAATAACAATAATAATAATTATAATAATAATAATAATAAAGATAACGATATCAATCCTACTACTAATGATGATGATAACAACAATAACAATAATAATTATAATCACAATGATAGCAACAATTAGTGAAGATGATAATGCTGACTACAATAACTACTAACAAAAACAATAATTAATAACAATACTAGCGACCATAACATCACCGGAATACTACCCAGCATGACACCAGTAGAGCGCAACTCCTCGCTAAAAATTCCCCGACCCTTGCAGGAGGCCTCCCTCAATTGCCTCCTGTTTGTGTTCCTGTTCTCCGGCGGGGTCGCTGGCTCCGCCTTCTGGAGCAAGCACATATCCATTCCCAAGAGCTTGAAGCAGAAGTCACTGGCGATGGTCAGCTTCTGCTTTCTGGCCTCCTTTGCCTACCTCGCGGACACCATTTTCTCCATCAAGAAGTACAGGGGTGGATAGTGCATTTTTTCCCTGTAAGTCGGGAGTAGGAACACACACACACACACATATGTAATATATTTATATATACATATATTTATATATGTATACATGTATATATAAATATAATTGTGTGTGTGTGTGTGTGTGTGTGTGTGTGTGTGTGTGTGTGTGTGTGTGTGTGTGTGTGTGTGTGTGTGTGTGTGTGTGTGTGTGTGTGTGTGTGTGTGTGTGTGTGTGTGTGTGTGTGTGTGTGTGTGTGTGTGTGTGTGTGTGTGTGTGTGTGTGTGTGTGTGTGTGTGTGTGTGTGTGTGTGTGTGTGTGTGTGTGTGTGTGAGATTCATTCGTGGTGTGTACTTTATAACTTATGTTTCTGAAACTCATGTTTTCTTGTTTCTTTAATCTATGTTTAATTATCTGAGATGTTCAGTCGCATGCATTATTATGAAAAAAATAAAAAATAAAACTTTTCTCTGGATACACTTAGTTATCAGATCAAGTGATAGGAAGCAGCAAGTTAACTATCTTTCAATGGACAAAACTATTAATTCATCCAATGACGACCCATTTCAAATACCCTGAGCGATTAGGACAGACAAGGGTTCTGACAGGCAGTTTTCAGATTTTTTTTTATTCTAATAATAGACTTGTTCATAGCCTCCTTTACTGTATATTCATAAATATATTCTTATCAGTCCGTCAATTCACATGTATTTTATTCTTTATTTGTTAAATATTAATATTATAAAACATATTATACACCTTTGAAACATTCCTTATTAGGAATGCTAAGTGGAACATTAAAGTAGGTAATGAAAGTTTACACATTGAACCCACACATATTTCATATTCCACCCTATTTGGAAAGTAGGATATTACCCACTTTGTGTTCTTTAATCCCCTATTTATATATTTATTTATTGAAAACTTTCTGCTGCGTCAGTATCTAAGATATAGTGATAGTGTGAGGCTT